GGGGCCCCGGCAGCGGCCAGAGGCCAGCAAAAGCCCCGGGGCCACAGGGAAAGGCAGAGCCGAGCAGGGCGGCGGAGGAGGAGCGCCCCTCCAGCGGCGAGGCCGCGCGGGGGCCACGGAGGCTCGCTCCACGGAGGGCCGCCGGCGCACCCGCACGCCCGCGCACCTGCACCTCTGCACTCCTCCTTCTCCTCCTCCTCCTCCTCCTCCTCCCTCCCCCTTCCTCCTCCTCCTCTCCTCCTCCTCCTGCTCCTCACTCCTCCTCCTCCTCCTTCCTCCTCCTCCTTGCCCCTCCTCCTCCTACTCCTCCTCCTCCTCTCCTCCCTCCCCCTCACTCCTCCTCTCTCCTCCTCGTTCCTCCTCCTCCTCCTCCTCCTCCTCCGCATCCGCTCTCCCCTCCTCCCCCTTCCTCCTCCTCCTCCTCCTCTTCCTCTCCTCCCTCCCTGCTCCTCCTCCCTCCTCCTCCGTCTCCTCCCCATCCTCCTCTCCTGCTCCTCACCCTCCTCCCCCTCCTCCTCCTCCTCCTCCTCCTCCTCCTCCTCCTCCTCCTTACCCCTGCCCATCTCTCGTCCTCGGCTGTTCGTCTGTTTTGTCGTCATGTTCTTTTTTGTTTTTCTTTTCTTTTTTTTTTTTTTCTCTCTCTCTCTCTCTCTCTCTCTCTTTCTCGCTCTCTTCCTCTCCTTTCTCTCACCCCTCCCGCTCTGCTCCTCCTCCATAATACTGCTACTCTTCTGTTCACCCGCTCCAGGTGCCTTCCAGATAAACCAATATGATACCGGAGAATTGTTCAGGGCTGTGAGGCTATAGGGCTATAAGGCTACTGGGCTATAGGCCTATAGGGCTGTAAGGCTATAGGGCTGTAGGGCTACAGGGCTATTGGGCTATAGGGCTATAGGGCTATGAGGCTATAGTATAGGGCTGCTGGGCTATAGGGCTAATCATTATGCTAGAGGGCTATCAGGCTATAGGGCTATAAGGATACCTATACGACCACCCTTCGGGTGAGAGGGAGGTTCGGGGGGGGGGGAGGAACCAACGTCTCACTCGATCGGTCTCACTATCGATCTCACTATCGATCTCAGTATCGGTCTCGCTCGATCGATCTCCCTCGATCGAGCTCACAATCGATCTCACTCGATCTATCTCACAATTGATCTGACTATCGATCTCACAATCGATCTCACAATCGATCTCACAATCGATATCACATTCGGTCTCACTATCGATATCACAACCGCTATCACAATCAACGTCATCATCATCGTCAACAACATCAACATCAACATCATCATCACCAACATCATCATAATCGGGACACCGTCCTCATCATCAACACCAACATCATCATCATCATCATCATCATCATCATCATCATCATCATCATCATCACGGTCATCAACATCATCGGGACACCACCATCATCATCATCACAATCATCATCATCATCATCAACATCATCATCATCAGCAGCATCGGGACACAGTCATCGTCATCATCATCATCATCAGCAGCAGTGTCATCATCGGGGCACCATCATGATCACCATCGTTATCATCATCATCATCATCATCATCATCATCATCATCATCATCATCATCGGGACACCATCATCATCATCATCATCATCATCATCATCATCATCATCATCTCATCCTCATCATCGACATCATCATGATCAGCATCATCAACATCACCATCAGCATCATCATCGTCATCATTGGGGCACCATCATCATCATGACCAACATCAGCATCAACATCATCATCATCACCATCGGGACGCCATCATCATCAACATCATCATCATCACCATCAGAAAAATCATCATCATCGGGACGCCATAATCATCATCAACCTCATCATCATCAACATCATCATCACCATCGGGACACAATCATAATCAGCATCATGAACATCAACATCATCATACTCATCATCATCGGGGCACCATCATCGTCATCATCATGATCATCAACATAATCATCATGATCATCATCATCCTCATCATCGGGACACCATCATCATCATCATCATCATCATCATCGTCATCCTCATCATCATCATCATCGACATCATCATCATCATCATCATCATCATCATCATCATCACCATCGGGACACCATCATCATCATCATTTCATCATCATCATCATAATCATAATCATGATCATCGTCCTCATCATCATCATCATCACCATCAGCATCACCATCATCATCATCATCATCATCATCATCATCATCATCGTCATCATCATCAGCAGCATCATCATCATCATCAGCATCACCATCATCATCATCATCATCATCATCATCATCATCATCATCATCATCATCATCATCATCATCATCATCATCATCATCATCATCATCATCATCATCATCATCATCATCATCATCATCATCATCATCATCATCAGACACCGCGGGACACCGGCGGGACACCGCGGGGCACCGCGGGACACCGCGGGACACCGCGGGACAGGGCACCGGCGGGACACGCGGGCCACCGGCCGCCCGGAAGGGAGACATTTGGTCCGGCCGCGCCTCAGCCGGGACACCAGCGGGACACCGGCGGGACACCGCGGGCCACCGGCCGCCCGGAAGGGAGTCATTTGGTCCGGCCGCGCCTCAGCCACAGGAGACTTTCTCTCGCCCGCCCACGCAGCTTCGCCTCGCCCGCACGGCACGCGCGAACACGAAACCGAAATCGATTTCCCTGTAGGGGGGCTCTCCGTTCCACTTCGATCTCACCCCCTCACCTCCGATAAGGCTATAGGGCTATAGGTCTACTGGGCCCCCAGGCACCCCCGGGCAGCCCCGGGCGCACCCGGGCCCGGCCACCGAAGTCGGCGACGTAGGTCACCTACACATGAATCCGCTAGGACCCCTACAGAGGCAAGCTCTGATTGGGGAATAAGCCATGACAATATATCAAACTGCCTGCGGCGAGTCCCGCCACCGTGCCAGTCTAGCACGCCGTGTGGCGACTATTCGAGGGGGCACCAGAGGCCATCACGTGTGACATTTCGGGCCTCTTGGGGGGTTCTCTGGGGCCTCTTGGGGCCTCTTGGAGGCGCCTTGGGGGCGTCTCATGGGCTTTGGGGGACTCCTTGGGCCGCCTGAGGGCGCTCTTGGGCCGTAGGGGCGCTTTCAGATTCCAGCTTGGGGGGCTCCCTGGGTCGTTTGGGGGCTCTCTTGGGGACCCTGCGGGCCGTCTGAGCGCCTTCTTGGGCCGACTTGGGGTTCTCTTGGGCCGCACTTGGGCCATCTTGGCTTTGGGCCGTCTTAGGGCCCTCTTGGTGCCCTCTTGGGCAGTCTCGAGGCCATCTCGGAGGCTTCTTGGGCTGTCTTGAGCCGATGAAAACTCGAAGCGGCGAGAATGCGCACATCCTTCAAAATCTCATGGGACAACGATGACGTTGCCCTCTGCGGACTTTGCTGGAGGCTCCGTTGGAGCCCTCTTGGTCTTGGGCCGTCTCGAGACCATGATGGGCCGTCTCGAGGCCATCTTGGGTCATCTTGGCGGCCCGGATGGCCTTCCTGGGCCGTCTTGGAAGACTCCAGGGGCCCCACGGGAGCGCCATGGCCGCCCAGGACCCTTCGGGAGGAGGGGCGGTGCGCGCACCACTGTGATGAGAGGGGTGGGTGGGTCCCTTAGGATCGGCGTCACCCCGACATTCTTATACTATAGGTGCGTCGCCCCCGCAGGGGCGACGCGCGCACCGAGAAATCTTACAGTATATGCGTCGCGGCGGGCGCTCTCTGGCCACACCGCTCGCGAAACGATCTGCTGCAAGATGGGTATCCTGCCATGCTCGGGTCGGGCGCGCGCCTCCAAGGAGGACACATGGTGTTGGTGCGTCTCTGTGCGTCCCTTCGGAGAGCGCAGGAGCCCCGCCCGACGGCCCTCGGCAGTCTTCCGCGCCTCGGCGTGCCCGGAGGCGCGGCGGCGGGCTCCCGGCGGGGGGTGCCCCCGCACACCGTCGCGAGCGCCCCGCGGGCTTGCCTGCCTGCGCGGGCGAGGGCTCCGCCTCGGAGGAGGAGCCGCCTGCTTCCAGCCGTGCCGGGCGCTGCCAACACCCGTCGGCATAGGGGGGGGACCATCGCGTTGTGCTCGTGGAGGACGATCCACTCAGAGAAAGCATGTCGCCAAACATCTTCCAGATGGCGAAAACATGTGGTAGACATGTAAAAGGATGTAGAACACATGTTTAGAACATGTTTCCGACATGTTAAGCACATTGTAGATTCAACGATAGGGCTGTCAGAGTGCCCATTGTCGTGGCATCCGCAACGTTCTACCAGAGGCGAATCGGCTCCATCCATCCATCCATCCATCCATCCATCCATCCATCCATCCATCGCCTTCCTCCCATCCCTGCTTCCCTCCCTTCCCCCCTCCCTTCCTCCCTCTCTCCCGCCTCATTTTTGGTCATCGTTCGTCGGCCGTCGTCGTTTGTCCGTCATCGTCGTCGTTCGTCGGCGTGGTCGTCGTCCTTCCTAGTCGTCGTCGTCGTCGTCGTCGTCGTCGTCGTCGTCGTCGTCGTCGTCGTCCTCGTCCTCGTCGTCGTCGTCGTCGTCGTTGTCGTCGTCGTCGTTCGTCGTTCGTCGTTGTTTGTCGTTCATCGTCTGTCGTCGGCCATCTTTCGCCGGCGTCGTCGGTCATCGTTCGTCGGCGTCGTCGTCGTGGCTCGTCGCCGTTGTTCGCCGCCGACGCCTCCGCCTCGCCGCGCGCCGACCGAGCCGCGTTTCGGCTGCCGGCCGCCCAGCGCCGCCCCGCCGCGGCGGAGGCGGGCAAGGGGCTTCGTGCGGCCGCCCGGCCGCTCCCCAGGGGGGTTTTCGGCAGCGGGCCTCAGAGGTCAGGAGCAACGTCTGTGAGTGACCCCTCCATCAGGGCTGGACCTGAACGGTGCTTTTGGCGATCTCGTGGGCCGCTCTCGTTTCGACCGCGTTTTGCGGCAGAGGCGGACTCGAGACCAGAAGCGAGGGAGAACGAAGACGA